TTTTTTTAGACTTATATTACATTGTAATCCATCATATTATTAAAAAAAATAGTTTGATGTCAAAATCTGGTTGTTAAAGAATACTGTTAACCCTGTAAAAAGGGCATATTTCATGCCATTTTACTAAAGTTATTGAATGTTCTTAAGCCTATTTAGTTACATTTAGTTGCATATAGCTCGTTCATTTGCATATGTTGGATTTTGTTGTCATTTCATGTAAAATTGGTGCTGCTTGAGAATAGTTTGTTTTGATGTAATGATGTGCAGGTGACTCAAGGTGAACTGGCTAGAGGGGACGATTATTCTGTAGCAAAAGGGACAACATTTATGGGTGTACTAGAAGACATGAAGATATTTATTGGAAGTAGGGATGGCAACGGGTCGGGTTCGGGCCGGGTATTGGTCTCCCCGTCCCCGTTCCCATTTAAAAAAACCGGTATCCGTCCCCGTTTAAAAAACCACGGGGATTTAAACGGGGATCCCTATCGGGTAATCGGAGAAAACCGCGGGGAAACGGGTATCCCCGTTTAGCATAAACGTTTATTTAAATGGGTATCGGTAGGGTTGTTCATTCGGTTAATTCGGTGGACGAACCGACCGAACTACCATTAACGGAATTAACCGAATTTTTTTTTTAACCGTTAATCGAACCAAATTTTTTTTCAAAAATATTAATTTAACCAAATAAATTTCGGTTAATTCGGTTAATTTTTGAATTAACCGAATTTTTTTAGAATTTTCGAATTTAATACTAGAGAGCAGCTGTTGTTCCATTTTATAGGGAAGAACGTGATGTTGATATAGGTCCCGAGGCTGATTTTAATATGTCTAATTCACATGCTTCGCTTTGTCAGAGGAACGTTAAAGCTTGTGTAATGGAGACAGCTTGTATGAGGTTATTGAAATGCGAGGTGAAAATGAGGGTTGCTGTCGAAGAGACGAAGACAATATGCAAGTTGCATTGATTTAAAATTCTGCTGGACATAATTTCCAACTTGCCAATGCTAGTGGTGGGCTTCAGGAGTGTAATGGTGTACTGGACGAAGACCCTGCAGCAAGTACACGTTCGTTGGAAGTGGCACAATACCACCAAACCAACTAGACTTTTCACATTTAACTAGACAATGTTTGTCTATTAAAAGATATTAAAGGTTCACACGTGATTGCAAACAAGAAGTGTAAGCACTATTTTTACGATTAAACGAAAAAAAAAATATTATGAGACAGCGAAAATTGAGGTAAATTCTAGAAATTGAAGCGGGGACGATGTTTTAAAGTGGGGCAGTATGGGGTGAAAAAAATAATAAAAAATATTTAAGGGTTAATTTAAAATATATTATTAATATTATATATATAAAAATAATTATTTTTAATATTTATCGGGTCGGGTATCGGGCCAGGTAATCGGGTCGGGTAATCGGGTAATCAGGGCAGGGATTACCAAACCCATCTCCGTCCCCGTTTAACATAAACGGGTTTTCCCCGTCCCCATCCTCGTCCCTATTTATCATCCCCGAACCCGACCCGTTAAATTCGGTTTTTTGTTTTCCCCGTCGGATTCAGGTTTTTTTGCCATCCCTAATCGGAAGCAACCCACATGTGACACCTTGTCAGTTATGCCCCACATGTGAAGAGTATATTCCCTTAAGAATTAGGACACAAAACCCTAAGAGCCCCCACTATATAAAGAAAAGGACACCACATTTTATTGAGAATGAAAAAAGTGTGAGATAAAAAAGAGAAAAACTAGAGGCGAGCACTCTTCCTTTTTCTCTTCTTCATCGTGGTGACCTCCATTGCTGGAGCTTCAAGGGGATAAAACTTGTTGGCCTTTGAGATAAACAGTAATGCTTGAACAAATGATATTGGATGTTTTTCACCCAACCATGAACTAACTGAAGTTGGCTTGAATTTATTTTGGGTGACCATATTTTTTCCTTAATGAATGTTATAGCATTTCCAGTTATATACATGCTTTGTTCACTGTTTTATCGCTTAGATTTGTAAGAGCTTTCGGGAGTTAGCCCTTATCTATATTTGATGATTGATTTCGATAGAGTCAAGCTTAGATCTACGTGAACAATGGAGTGGAGATGGGTAGCAAAACTTTAACTTTTCTAAGAGATAAGGATAAGGTTTCAACGACTAACAAGAGTAGAGTTTATTCGATAGTATTTGTTAAGGTTCACGCTGAGAGGTATTGCCTTAGCATTTTCACTGTCAGGTTTCTTACTAGATATAGTTTAGAAACTACTTAGGAAACTCTTTCGAGCATTGTATTAATTGGAAATCATTAATGGTCATTTAGGGCAATGCATAAAATTTCAAGATTAACCTCGCCATTTAACTTCATTGAGAGTTTCATGCATGTGAAGTTAGTTTGTTGTCTTATCTTGTCCATCATTTCTCATAACACAATTTTGCCAAATTATTTCTTATTTTACTTTTTTGCTACACCATTTCTCATTAATGGTCATCTAGGTATTTAAACTTACTTGAATTTCCCTCTATTTCCTGTGGAGACGATACTTACTCATCAATTTATTACTTGTTTAACGTGTATACTAGCACAATTTACGGAACAAATTTAATACACTCACATATACAACAAATATGCATTTTTTTGTTAAAAAACCAGTTTAATGGTGAAAACTAAACTTCACCTTAATAAAGTCAGTTATACTGGCGGGTTCGACCTTGAGGTTGAAACAAGTCTATGCATGCAAGTCCTGAAAAATAAATGGAAGTTGGATCCAGTCCCTCAAACTTATTTTGGCCCAATGAACAACAACTCTAAAACCCAATGAGAACAAAAATGAATAGGGAAGTTAAAAATTTATGTCACGATTGTCATCCTTTTTCATAAAATATGTACGATAGAATGTATAATATTATTTTTTTAAAAATTCCTTTTTATATATAAGGTTATTTTTTTGTAATTGATTTTTAGGAATTTTTTATTTTTTATTTTTCAGTGTTTAATTGACAGAAAACATATATTCAATGTAATTCATTTTCTTGATTAACTGAATTTCTTTTTTTTTTTTAGAAAATGATTTACGATCTGATTTTCCATAAATCATTTTATGAACTTTTCACTTCAAAACATAAACACTCAAAGTATTATTATTTTATATATTTAATATCAATATATCATTTTAATAAAATATTAATTATTAAATTATATTATTATAATATATAATATTATATTATTATTTTAATAATATATAATAAATTATTAATAAAATTAATATTATTTATTAATTTTATAAAATAATATTATAGAAATATTGAATATTAAAATATAATATAATATTATCATTTTAATATTATAATTTTTAATATTTTAATATCATTATTATTTTAATAACATTATCAACTTCAGTGGTAAAATAATTGTTATTATTCCTTGAGGTCCCGAGTTCAAGCACCATGAATGCTAAGGGTGTGAATGTTCAATGTCAAATGAATAAGAATTATCTTTGGACAAATACTATTTTGTACTTACCCCAGATTACTAAAAAGTTTTTTTAATAAGTAATTAATGTAATTAATAATACATTTTTTATTTTAATAAATAATTAATATAATTTATACTAATTTATTTTAATAAAATATAATAATCTTAATATTTTTATTTATAAAAATTATAAATATAATATATTAATAATTATATTGATATAAATAATATTAAATAAATTATTCTGATATTTTAAAAATAATATTATTTATTTTTTTATGTTTATAATAATTTTTTTTTAAAAATTTACCAACGAGTAAAAAAATGAATTACACAACATCATCCAACCACAATAAAATGATTTCCAAAAAAATGTTTTCTAAAAAATGTAATTCATTTATAGAATTCATTTTTCGAAATCTATTTTCCTTAAAACAAACAGGCCCTAAGATTAATGTTTTCTATTTTCTAAGATGTAAAATTCAGGAGTCACACAACCAATAAAATAAAGGGTAAATTATGTATTTAATCACACACTTATCTTTTGTGGTACCGTTTTGAGCATATAACTATTTTAAAAAAATCATACTTGTTACGTTTTGGTTCTGTTTTGATCACCCGCCGTTAAAATTAACAATGATGTTGATGTGTCACCATAAAGTAATGTCACATTATCATTGAAAAAAAATAAAATTTCAAATCAATAATTATGCTTATTCTTTAGGGTAAAGTAGACAAATGATCCATTGACTATAGGACACTATTTTATTGAGGCTATTGAAAGTTACAAAATGTTCATCCGACTATAAGACACTACTTTATTGAATTAATCGACTATTAAAAGTTATAAAATAGTCACATGACTATTCGTATGTTGCAAACTCGTCTTTCTTTGTTAATAAAAATTGGAGCTTGCCTAAACTGGATATTAACCCGTTGATCAGGATATGATAAAATTATATTTTTAATGATGTCTATCGGAACCACCATTGCTTTCAGATACTAGCTCGACAACATAATGTTTCAGGCATTATCTTGAGGAAATAATGTGAACATAGACTCGATCCACAAAATATAACTCAAACGGTTCTGAGATCATATTTTATCATAGCCAATGAGTATGTTAATATCCAACTCAGAAGATCACCAATTTTTTAAGTTTGAAACATATGAATAGTCAAGTGACTATTTTGTAACTTTTAATAGTTAAAGGACTCAACAAAATAATATCTTATAGTCAGAGAACCATTTTATAATTTTTAATAGTCGACAACAAAGTAATATCATATAGTTAGAAGATCATTTGTGTATTTTTCTTATTTTTTTAACGATGGATGATAAAAAAAAAATCAAAACGTAACTATATATATTTTAAATATAATTGAGGGACTAAAAAAATGATGGATGATAAAAACAAAATCAAAACCTAACTATATATATTTAAAAATAATTGAGTGACTAAAATAGAACAAAAATAAAATAAAATAAATGAGTAGCTAAATACGTAATTTACGCTAAAATAAAATCACACGAACGGGAGATAAGAAATCAACCAAAAAGGCTGGAAAGAAATCGGGGAAGGCGGCTAAGGATCCAAACAAGCCAAAGAGGCCTGCTAGCTCCTTCTTCGTTTTCATGTAATCTCATTCACGAATCTCTGTTTTCTTTAATGTATTTGGTTTCTTGCGTTTCCTTCGCTGAAAACTCTGGCGTTTATATTGAAGAGGTGAATTGAACTATTTTTCTTATTGTCAAAGCAAACTTGATCTTCGAGGATGATTTTGCAGATTTACCTTCATGTTTTATCTAATTCGTTAATTTTGGTTTCGTGATTTAAGGGAGGAGTTTCGTGTGCAATACAAGAAGGAGCACCCTAAAAAAAATCCGTTGCTACAGTAAGCATTAACTTTTCTTTCAGATTTCTTATAATTTGTGTGTTTTTAAATTTCTCCTTTTTCTTTCAAATTCAGGTTGGCAAAGCTGGTGGAGATAAATGGAAGAGCCTGTATGAGGCTGCAAGTATTTTGCTATTTCAGCTTTGTTTTTTTTTTTAAACAACATGAAAAATGCATTCTGACTAGTTTTTGACATTAATGGTTATGGGAAAAACGACCTCATGTTGATAAGGCAGAGAAGCGAAAGGCTGAGTATGAAAAGAACATGAAAGCCTAGAATAAGAAACAAGTATTCTTTTATCTTCAAAGTTAAAGCTTTTGTAGATACTATTTTGATGAGCTGAAATTTAATGAACTTTCTTGGATTTCAGGCTGAAGGTCCCAAAGATGATGAATTGGAGTCTGAGAAATCCATGTCGGAGGTTAATGATGAAGAAGAGGAAGATGATGAAGGCAGCGGAGATGTGAGTTTTTCATGCTGTTTCAATTGTGTTGTTGCTGATCTTCCGACTTAATTTGGAGTCTAGTGATTTGGGTTTATCTCATTTTTTGAAATGCAGGAAGATGGTGATGAGTAGGAAATTCCAAGGAGGATAGCATTATCAAAGTAGGTTTGTGATAGTGTTTGGTCATCTTATGTTAATGCTTTTAAATGCACATTTTATTCAAGGAAAAATTCAACTACGAATCTTGTCGGTTTCATTTTACATCTCGAAAGTTAAAAGTTGTAGATGGGAAATTTGCCACTCTTAACATAGGTGTCATAACAATTTTTTTAATAAAACAATTATTTATTATTTCAAAAAAGTTATGATTTTTATTTAAAAAATTGTAAATTTATGAATTAAATTGAAAATGAGTCGTCATCGACCTTTGGGTTAGGTAGGTCGAACACCTAAATTTCAGTTTGGCCTATATGTTGTTTTTATCTCAATTTAGCCTTTGTACTATTATTATGTCGTCACCATTTCCGTTAAAAAGAGTTATAAATCTAATCAGAACATGACACTTATAATAAAAAAAAATCATAAAAATGTTAAAAAATAAAAAATAAAAATCTCTGAAAAATCTAAAATTTTTAGAAGTTATGTTAATATCTCCAAAATTATAATTATACCCAATTTATTTCAGAAAAAAAATATTTAAATGTAAATACTGAAGAAAAATCAGTAAATTCTTGAAAATGAGTTTTGGAAGAAACCTTTTATGCTTTTATTTGAAATCTATGTTTATTAAAGAATTTTTAATATTTTTTATTGCACATAAAAATCTCTTACTAACCAACATCATTTTTTAAAGAATGACGGAAATGAAGTGAAGTGATAGATAGAATGGTAGTGCAAGGAATAAACTGAGAACAAATATACAGTGGCCAACCTAAGAATTTGGATAAAATTCAAGGGCAAAAAAGGTTTTAAGCCTTTTATATGTATGCTACAAAATTGACACTTTTCTTTTAGGGGTGAACAAAACAGACTCGACTTGAAAATCGATTTTTTCGACTTGAGTAAATTAAAAATAACTCGACTCAAATTGACTTCGAGTTGTAATTTTATAGACTCGACTCGACTTGAAAAAAATTCAACTTTAAATCGAGTTGCAAAACTCCAATAACTTGATTAGTAATTTTAATAACTTGAATTTTTTGTAATTAGTAGAATGATTTTTAAGTTTGAGTCGAGTCACACGACTTTGTATGATATATATATATAAAAAAATATGAAGTAGTGTATATGGTTATAATAAACCATTTAAATTAGAATCAAATAATATCATAATATTATAAATATTTACAATTAAATTTAAATATTAACTCAAAAATTAGACTCGACTCGAATTTTATAAATTTAACTTGACTCGAAAAACTTGAAGTCAACTTCGAATTGTAAAATAAGACTCGTCAACTTGAATAACTCAAAATTTTAACTCGTTTCGACTCGATCGAATGCTGATACATGCACCACAAGACTCACATCAAAGGAAGATATATTATATCTTTCGATTGATCCACACAACCAAGCCTTGGAAAAGAAGACCAAAATAGCATTAGACTTGCGATGACTTTTTGAATGAGATCTAGGTGTTATTTGATCGAAATGTCTTATAGAGATACGGTTGACTGTCTCTTAGCTTTCCAATTGTACTCAAAATGCGTCTGATGTCGGGAACGCAAGATACATATATTTTAGTGAAGACAACACATGAAGAAAATTCTTATACGTGATTAATACATGATTTTATAAATATTACGCATTTTTAATATTTTTATTGACTATTTGTAATATAATGTAATATAGAAAGATGCTTTATTTTAAGGTTTAGATTTATTATTTATTAGGAATTAAGATAGAATTAAAATATTATTTTTTATTCTTTCTTATTTTATTAAGAATTAAGATAGAGTCATGACATTATCTCTAATTTGTTATTATTTTATTGAATAGTTACTTAGATTAATGGAACTACTCACCTATATAAATAAAGTTTTATTCACCATTGCAAATCAAATTTATTTGATTAATAATACAACGAGAGTTCGTTTTTGGAAGTACTAATTGACTTCTTCCTTAAAACATTTTTAATCATTAGGTTCTTTAAATTATTCGTGAGAAAGATCTTCACACTTCGATTTACCTTCTCATTGTGATTAGGAGGACTTATTAGAGTCAATTATCGAATTTGCCTAGTCAATTGCAATTAGGAATGTTCATAGGACAATTATTCATCAATAATCACCATCTTCAACAAATCACCATTTTCGCCCATTATCACCAAAACCCTAATTTTGATTAAGACATCCTCTCTTTATCTTCTTTGTATTTATTTATCTTATTGTCTTAATTTTTATTATCTTCATATCAATATTTTGTTTATATCTTAATTTTTTAGTAACTTTGTTTCCCATTCAAAATCTTAAATTATGACAATAATATAATTCATCTTTTGAGTATGAACAACATTTATCACTTCGCTATGATTCCCTCTCAACCCCTACTTTTCTTATCTGACCGATTTCCTGTCTTCAATCCGAAATTAAGTTCAATTATTCATAATCAATTTGAGGCTGGCGCCAACAGAAAATGTGGTTATCCAATTCCTATGTACTATCTTAATCGGACGAGAAAAAATAAAATTTATAATACATTAATTTACTATTATTATATACGACACTTTCATTTATTTCTTTTGAAATATATGATTACAATAATAAATAATAGATTTATATGATTATAAATAAAATTAATCAATGCAATACATATATACAAAATATATTTGATCTTAAATAAGAATAATTTAAAATAATATATATACATATAATACAATTTAAATAAAAATAAATTTAAATAAAAAGAAAAAAAATAATATTTATGAATGAAAAAACTTGAACTTAAACAATTTCAACCTTTGCTCACTAGTATTTCTCGATCGCTTAACTTAAGACGATTATGTTTAGGTATTCTTTGGGGTCCACAAACGAAATAAAAGGTTTCACCTTTTCTTTATAATTAAAAGGGTTTGACCTAATAAAATTTATTAAATTAGATCTCTAAACTTGGATTTTCCATATAATGCTCTAGCCTATTTTGATTCTTATTAGACTGATAATCTCGCATTTATTCTTTGTTGATGATATGATTCTCTTCATGAAAGCAACGATAAACTATATTACGATAAACTATCAAGTAATCTCGGGTTTGGGTTTGGGTTCGATGCTCATCCATGCTTTGAACAATCTATTTTCTTCCCCTAGAGTCCCTCGTTCCCTTAAAATTCATCCTTCCTTTGAATTCTCTCTTTCACCTCACCTTTAATTAGGATTAGAATTAAACTTAGAATTTATCAGAAATTTATGTTATAGAGAATGCAATTTTTAGTTTTTAATATTTGATTGGTGTAAAATATTTTTCAATATAATTTATTTTTGAGTAATATACTTTTTTTATATTTTTTATAAATGATTTAGATCTGAATTTTTTGTAATTTTTTTTATTTTTCACTTAAAAACATAAACATATAAAAATATTGTTTTATATATTAATATTAATATTAATATTATATTTTAATATTTTTTAATTAAAATATAATTATAAAATATTTAAAAATATATTTATCAATACTTTAATAATATTATATGTTTAATATTACAATAATATATATTTTCCCTATTTTTCTCTTTTTTTTTCCTTAGTCGTAGTTAGTATCTTTTCTTCTTCGTCTTTGTGATCGGCGACAGAGTCAACCTTCCTAATGACTGTCGACTGCCAATATTCATTCTTTTTCTTTTGTTTTAATATAGTGTATCTTTTTTTTATTCTTAATAATTATGCCTTTATGGCACGTCTTCTTTTATCTTTATGACATGTTTTCGGTTGTTTGGTTGTTATTTTCGTTTACTATTACTTTCAGGGTTGGATTTGACATTGCCACAATTGATCAAGATGGTGTTTTATTTGCCATCATGTTGAACTTCTCTGCTTTTGACCTTATGATCAGATTTGGATACACAACTTGCATTTGTGGATAGTATTTTCACGTCGCTCAATTCTTATTTGTGATTTGTTAGTGACCTTTCAATAGCTCTATCCCCTTTTTTGGTTTGTTTATCAATGTAGTCAGATCTACTTGTATTTATCTTTTATCAGAGTTTATTTGGTTAGATTTTTTTTAACCTTTACTTTGTTGGAAAATAAAAATATATGAATTCTCTCTTAATAAGAAATGAGAGTGAAGGCAATTGAATAATCTTTACAAAAATGATTCTCTTTTATTTTCCATGTTTTGTAATGATCATTACAATACGTATATATAGGACTCACATTCATCATAACTTAAACTCAAATTTAATTTTAATAACTCTCATATTTAATGAAGTGAACTTATGAACTCAAATAAACACACAACTTTAATTAATTAAACTACCACGTTTAATTCTTTAATAAAAAACATGTTTAATTTCAATCATCTCCGTAAACTTGATTTTGACCAACTCCTAACAACCTATGGAACTTGCAGAATACATCATACTTCACAGGCTTGGTGAAAATATCTGCAACTTGGTCAAGAGGACTTATGTAAACCATATGTACTTCTTTCTTTTCAACACATTCACAAATAAAGTGA